ATTTATTTCTTATATAATCACTATAATATAAATTAATGATTTTCTTATTTGCGATAAAGTGTAGTTATTTGCATTTTCACATTCTCTTCTATCATTTTCAGTTTTTTTCCTTATTTCGAAGAAAAAGTGGAATATAGAATGACTTAAATTAGATTAAACGAAATTATCAAATTTATTCGATTTTATATTCATGGAATATTTAATATGTAGCAGAATATATCGGAAGTACGTACCCGAAATTTTTTTATTTGCCTAGACAAGTTCTTGGAGAGGAATTTGCCAAAACATTCCATCATATTTGGTCTTCCTTCATATTGAAAGTGCCTCGTTTATCACCTTCAAAGTTTTTTTTAACAAATTAAATTTATGAAAAGTATAATAATTATTTCATAAACTCGAATCAATACATTTAAAAGTTTCAAACCATTTGCGATAACAATAAAAGTTTTAAAGGTTAAATTATTATTATAAATTATTAGTATTATAACTTATAAGTTCCTCTAATCTATCTAGAAATTTAAGTTATTTTCTAGATAGATTAGAGGAAATTATAAATATTTAATTATTAAATCAAACTCATTTTTGAAATAGTACATCAAATATAATTTATATATAAATAATATTTTTTATGCCTTAATCCTAAAATATTGATTATTAATTGATCCAACATCCTGTATTGTATAGAACATTGGCCTTGATTACTGTAATGCACAGCTTGTCTCAGTATAAACGTGCCTATTGAAGAAAATGGGTGCAAAAGATCAATAATTGCTCATATCTCAGCCATAGTCTGTGTACTTTAATGTATCTAGAATACGGAAGGAAACGTTCGATGTGTCATATTATAGGCTATGATATATTTTAAACATAATTCATTAATTAATATTCATTTTAATATTAATCTTTCGCTTTCGTAATAATGTTTTTCTTTTCATTTAATTAATTTATAGCATAAAATTTATATTAAAAGTCATTTTAAATTGTTACGATTAACTATAACAAGTATTTCCCTCCTTATAGTATGTGATACATCCTGTAACGAAATAACTGATACGTGTAGAGCTATAGTTGGATTTACGTCATACTCAAGCCATGTATTTGTCAGAAAAAAGTATAGATTATATTAAAATTAATATTTTATAACTTATATAATATAACTTTTTACTGAATTATTAAAAGTTTACTAGAAACACTACAGTAATTTGGCATAGATTCACTCTACAAGTTCATGACAAACTAAATTTTATTCTGATCGGATTTTAAGGCTTATAGATAAGTTAAACAATGCCCTATGATTCTACAATCATTGTGCCAATAATTTCGTATATTCTATCATCGTTTAATATGCACCTGGGACACAGTAACTTCAGTAAAAGATCCTCGATAGAAGTAAAACTTCATTCCAAGTTGGCGAGCGTCCAACGAAGCTCTAAAAGATCACGTCATAAACGTCACATCATCGGGTTTGATCCCTCTTCTGGGATAGTAAAATGCAGTCGATCGAATAGAAATTCCTCCTTTTTTGTGGAACAATACAGTAAAATAAATATTTTGAACCGATAGAATTAAGAATTTATATTATTATTTGTCGAGTTTATTTACGATACAGCCTGTAAAATGTACCAAAATTAAAGTGTCTAAAACGATCCTTTTGGAATTAATCCAACAAATTGATGTTTATAATATTTCAAATTTGCCACTTAAATGTAGATACAAAGTTCAGTAAGGATGCGACTATGCAGACGCGAATTTAGTAGCGAGCGAAAGGTTGCGAGCGATATAGTTCTCGCAAAGGAGAATATGCACAAGCGAGAAACGAGAAATATCGCTGGCGAGAGCAAATTTCTGGTTCTCGCGCATATCTGACAAGGTTTGATATTTATCGTGTCTCTCTTCTTCTCGCCACATATTCTCGCTCGCTCGCGTCTACATAGTCGCACCCTAAAACCTGAGTAAACCGGAATCACACTGTACCGAATATTTTTTTTTTTTTCAGTTTGACAGGTTTTTGTCATGAACAGGTTTTCTTAAAACAGAAAATTGTTCCGTTCCGTAGAATTGTTCTGGTTTACGCAGGTTTCCGTTTTATTGAAGTTCGCTTCGAAAAGGTTTTACTATAGTAGTAATATTTCTAGTGTTTCTATTATTATAATTATTTATTATTATTATAAATGATTAAATTTGAGTATACCTTGATAAATTTATCGATTGAGACAGTTCGACGTCGTCTTGTTTACGTAGAACGTATGTCGCCAAATCCTTTTTAGTAACGATCTATGCAGTATATTCGAAGTAGTTTATCGTTGCAACGTATAGATCCAGTCTTGTTTGATGTTGCTAGGTGGTAGCTTCGTCACAGTTTAATTAAAAATAAATGTTTTCATCCATTTTTACTCAATTTTAAGGAATAATTAACACACACACAAAAACATTTGTATCCCATTTGGGTTTTTGAAAAGAATATAAACATTTCATGGGTATTTTTTAATCTCTTAAGAAGAAATGCAATCAAACCTGTGAACAGTTACAGGATCATTTAAAAATGGTCGTTGTTTGTAGGTTATTTTGTACGCATTTTGAAAGTTGCTGAAAAAATGGTTACCGTTTACAGGTGGCCTTTGTTGGAAGGTGACGGTTACTACTTACAGGTTCGACTGCACATACGTAGTGTACTGTACTGTACATAGCCTACAGTTTTAATTTGATACTTTAATTACTACCCATTTCAGTTATCCTAAAAAATCGAGATAAAATTTGTTCCAATATTTGAAATTTTTAAGAATTTTTTGTATTTAAAATGGCAAAAGTATTTGATTAATATTCTTACATCATTCGTTTACGCTACGTTTAATCGTATTCATTCGGTTATAAATTAAATCATTGATATGTAAAAATTTATCTTTTGAATTCGTGAAAGAATTCGAAATATTTTGTATTTATTGATTAAAGAAATATTTAATTTAATTTTGATATAATTAAAAATAATATGTCTGAACTCCAAGTTAACTCTGCTATATAATTAATCAACGTTAGGTTTCCGAGTATCATTATTGTTATAATTACTTATTCGTGATGATGATACACTTCATTAAGAGAAATAATTAATTACTGACGATAAATTATTTTTATTTCTAATTGATCTTTTGATTTAAAATTTGAAATATCTCAAAAATGTTCTTTAAGATAAAGGAATAAAAATATAGAATTTAATTAATTGTAATTGAAAATATTAATGATAATTTATTAAAATATTTAATAAAACTTTTTATTTACATTATATTGCAAATTCTTTAATAAGTTATGAAATAATTTAAATTAAATTAAGTAAAAAAATCGAAATTGCGAACCTTGAAAAAATATATTCGATTGTATAAAATAATTAAATAATTGGAAAGAAGGGATTTTTTATTAGTTTTTTTCGTATGTGGACACTGTAGGAGTTTTTTCATGACCATTATGGGTTTGGCCATGCTCACAATAAGGGGAAACGAATGGCGAAGGACCAAGTCCGCTATATCCGAACATCCATTCATGAAAATTCGAAGATTTCTCCTTCAGATTTAATCTTGGATTCCCCAGAGCAATAAAATATTGTTAGCCAATTATTATTACAATAAAACCTGACCAGAAAGGAACCTTAATAAAACGGAAGCTTTCCTAAAGAAGAAAAATTCTTAGAAACGCAGCGATTTTCTGCGTTGAGAAAATACCTGTTCAAAACGGAAACCTGACAAACCGAAAAATATTCGGTACTTTGTGAGTCCTCTTTACACAGGTTTTCACTATATATCCATTAAGTTTTGATACTTATATATATATATATATAAAAGTATTACGACTTTAATGGATATAAATTATGGATTAATGTATCAAAACTATATAATTTCATAATTTACACGATATTATAAAAATTAGTCAAAAAGTATGAAGATAAAGTTAAAAATTTATAAATGTTTAAAATCGGCAACTTGTTTTCCTTTTACTTCTAGTCAACGTATCTAATTTTAGTAGGAAAAACTAAATTTTTCTATTTGAATTTCTCTTGAAACTGTTGATTCCTTAACGATGTTAGAAAGTTTAGTTGAGAAAATTCTGAAAAACTAGAACAAATTAAATTTAGTATAGGCTATACTTTCTTTCCTGCAGCTTAAAGATCAAAGATTCGATCGTTGTTAGAGATTTTAAGTGTAGAACTTGAGAAATTTAAAAATTGACATTCAAAATTCTAGAGATTATTTATTATTTCATATTCTTCTAAATATAATTAAGTTTCTTATTTATGAGTTTATAAGTGAATTATTAACAGAAATTTAAATATTGTCTAATTTTTAAATATATTTTTCGAATTGTTTCTATAATATATTAAAATTCATCAGACTTTTTAAAAAGAATCAATAGATAATAAATAAATAATAATATTTTTTAACTTTGATTTCTTTTCTAAATATTATTTCATGTTAAACATTTAACATGAATATTATCTATACTAAAATTTATTTATATTCAAGAGTTTTCTAAAGGAAATTAATTACTTTAATTCATAATTTTTAATCTGTATAAATAATTTTATAACCCGAAGAATAACGCTGTTTGCTGAATATTATGTATATTATTTTTCAGAATTTAACTTTACATTTTAAAAAATACAGCATAAATTTAATCTAAATGAGTTAAATTAATTGAAAAATGGAGATAAGTTTCTCCTTCTTCTTCTTTCAATTTTTTCGTAGACGCTGTAATCATAAAATTTATATTAAAAGAAAATTCCATTTTCTAATCGAATTACTTTGTTAATATCTAAAAGTAAAAAGAGATAATAAAAATAAAAATTCTTTCACTTTTTCCTTTTTCCAATATAAAATATAAAAAATAAAAATATATCGAAGGATTTTTGTGAAAGAAAAATATTTTTCAGAAAATTGAAAAATGCATTCACCGAAAATATTTCTTATAGTTAATATTTTCCCACTTTTAAAAATATATTTGTAATTATTTTTCAGTAAAACAGTTAAGTCAAACATGCACTTATACGAGTCAATGCCGCTTCTTCGATGAACACGCTATCTGCTTGGATGGATTATGCACTTGTATGAAGGGTTATTATGTCCAGAACAATCCAAATGGAAGTTCGTGCGAAGGAGGTAAGTTTCTTTGAATATAATCAATCATAAAGAAAAAAAAATACCTGCAGCAAATGTGAAAGTAATTTAACAAATATGTAATAAAAGTAATTCCGAGTTAATTTACTTTATTTATTTTTTCTGATTTAATTTCTTAGATTGATGCTCTAAAAAACAGTGCGGTGTATTATCATTAAAGACTAACCATTTATTTATTTATTTATTTATTACTTTAAGTATCTTAATATTACTTAATTCTACAGATTTTTTTTTCTAATGACTTACAGAAATGGTTAATTTTTAATTATATTTTTATACAAGTAATTCATATAATGATTGTGTAATGTAAAAAAATGAAATCTTCGTGAAAATAATTATGATTTTTGAAGAACTAGCAATTAAAAAGTAAATTATTAAATAATTTTTATTTATATTTCTAAATCGAAAAATTATATTATTTATTCGAAATCTTGTTAAGATTTAAATAACTTCTGCGAATAACTTGCTATTGAAGAGCTAAAAAAATCAATAAATTCGTCGAATTTATTTATATTTTTGCCATTCGACGAACTTATTTAAATATGTAATGATTCTGCTTAACGGATTTCACACAATTTCTGGAACGATTAGAAAAATTCGAACTTAAAATAATTGCATTCTTTGTTATAAAATTTCTTCTCTATAAAAGTTTCTATTTTTATAGTCTGGTTTTTTAAATTAGAATTTTTTTTAATTGTAATCTTTGCATTTTCCCTCCGAGATGCCATTAAATTTGATTTGTTAATATTGCAATTACCAGTAATGATATTTTGTAGCAATGAAGTGTGCATGGATGGTGATTCTTCTTGGATGTTGAGATCGATTAAACGTTTTCTTAACTGCGTCTTTACTCTCGATTTCTTTCTTTATCTTCTTTCTATCGATTACAACACTATAACACGAAAATGCTCTTCTATGGACGGTTTTCTTAGACATTAACATCATCTTTAAATATGAAATTGTGTAATGTGTATCTAGCAGCTAACACTGAACTAACAAATAAATTCTGAAGTTTGTATTGAAAAGTAATGAAAATAAATAAATAAAACTATTTTAAAATATAAAATATAATAATTATTTATCTGCTGCAACTGTTTATAAACATAAAACACAGTAAATTTTTTAAAGTATTATTAATTATTTCTTCTTCTCTGGCAATTAGCTGAATATGTAGATTTATTATTTTAATCTTAAAATATTTTTTATCTCTATGCTGTGTTTAGTAATCACATTAATAATTAAGGTAAATTATTTTGAATGTTACAGATGGTCGAGTTAGTTACGGCAGTCCAACCGAAGTACCTCACTATCGCCTGGACACCAATGTCATTATTATCATGGTCGTTATGGCTATAATGTTTGTAGGAATGTGTGTAGCTCTTCATCTCTTCAGCAGGCAAGTGATACATCTCTTGCTATTTCAGAATTCAAGAAATGTGTTCTATTATTGTATTTCACAAATTTAATAATAAAAATGCATTTCTTTTGCAGGGCAAGATTCCGGAATAGAAGGACGATTTTCAATTCTCCACATCCTCGTTTGATGCATATCAAACTGGGGAAACGTCGAGCAAGCACTCTCAGCCATCGACGTCATAGCCATATCCCACCTCCTAGATCTCGCCATCATAGCGTATCTTCTCATATATCTCATTCTTCTCCTTCTCCAGGTATTCTAAATTCTTCAATCTTTAGTTCCCTACACAAACACAGAGCATAGTAATAAGTTTTAAATAAATGAAACTCATTATTTACGAGCAAAAAGTATTTGAATATCGACGCAATGCTGGGCTTCAATTTTTAATTATATCCTTAATTTATTTAATTTAAAATATATGCTCTCGATTTCAAATTAGTTATTTTATGTTAGTTTAAATTAATTATTTTATATGCTCTCAAATTAGTTATTTTACGTCAAAGTAGTGTCAAATTAGTAGTGTCTTGTCTCTCTATATCATACTTTTCCTGACAACAACAGATTCGTGCCTGTCATCTATGTAACTCTGTTCAGGGAAAATTTTGAATTGAAAATCACGTGACTTTTGGTCTATACCGGAAGTTTGTATATAATAAATCGGGACCTTCATATCTGGTCTCGACTTTCATTTATCTAACACCATTCTCAAGATTCAGATAAGATAGACAAACGGACGGACGAGAATGGGAATTTATAGGTTTACAATTTTTTTTAAATTGCAGCCAAATTAAATACTTGAAATGTTTTCGAACTCAATCAAAATTACGAAAATATTTAATTAAATTATTGGGCTACAATTTGAAAATTTATAAACTTATAAATTCCCACTGTCTGTCCTTCCTTACTCTCGAAGGTGGACTAGATAGATAAAAGTCTAGATTTCAATTCAAAATTTTTCCCTGAACGGAGTTAGATAGATGATCAGCACGACTCTATTGCTAACAGAAGTATGATATGGTAAGTCTGAGAGAGATGGACCAGCAGGTGAGATGGGCCAATTAAATATTTCTTTAACCGTTCATTAGAATGTGTTGGGTGTTGGTGGTAGTGTCATTTGTCCGAGGTGGATGTGCATACTATACATACATTATTTTGTTTTTGTGAGATTTGCACAAATATTTCAGCTAATATACTGTGAAATACAAATCAGAGGAGTCAAATAATCATACTGTAGTTATCTGATAATATTTTTGAATCCGTGTCTCAAACAACAAATAAAGTGTAAATTATGTCAGTTAATCGTTGTAATATGTTGTAGTAGTTTTAGTTTAAACAGAGATGTCATGAAAGCTTTGTCTATCTCCCTCTGGCAATTGGGAGAAATACTCCAGCTCGAGAAGGGAGAGATGGACCATTTTCATATGATAGGTTTGATACAGAAATAAGCAAAGTTGTATGACAAACGTCAAACTACAATGTGGCATATACTGTACAGTAATACCTTAATGATAAATAAATGGTAATAAGTGTGAATTGTGTGGAAAAAGTCTAAAAATAACAAACTTAAATATATTTAAAAAAATTATAACCGTAATATTTAAACTTGACACAGTTTTAATAAGGCATAAATGTTTTTTATGTGAAAAACATCTAAAATGTATTAAACCGGACAACAAAGTTTTATTATTACTGTTTTGTTTTATTCCTATTCTTATTTTACGCAGGCCTATCTCTCCGGTATAGCAGGGCCCAACTAACGCATAGTGATATAGGATAGATGAACCACTTGTATATTTTTTTGTTAATTAATAACTAAATTTGTTTATGTGTCTTTCACATTTATAGTATTATTTATTGCTAGCATATGTCACCAGCTATATACTATAGTACAATTTTTCATCGTTATTGCTATAAATAAGAAAACTATAGCAATTTTTTAAAAGGGGATTCATCTCTCCTGGATTTATTATACACAAGGAAAAGACATAATAAAATAAAAATTGAAAACATTGTGACGAAAAATTGCAGCCCGGCATGTCACAATAAATAATTTGCTCGTTTATATTAAAGGAGCATTAATTTCAGGTAAAACTAGGAAGACATCAAACGGCTTTCTTGCAATTCCTAACGCAGATGGTCACCACGAAGCACCTCTAGCTGAAAATGAATCGTTGCCTTCGTTAGAAGATCTAACTAAAAAAGTATCAATTATTCTCACCCAAATTTTCAAAATATAAAATAAAAAAAAATTAATAATTCTCCTTTGTATGACAACAATAGGTGCACGAAGACCAGCCAGTTCAGAACGGTCCAGCAATCTTAAAAGATACGGCAGCTGTCCAGGAAGGGACCAACTCGCCTACTGTGATCGTGACGAGTGCATCCGGTGAAAAAACTGTTGTCAAAGGAAAATCGCCATCTCCCACTGCTCAGGTGTGATTCTACGTAAAAAAAAACAAGCTTCGTGTCGGCCTCGTCGAGCAGTAATTGTATGCTAAACATACACACGGTTCGTTTCTTTACAAATTCTCTCCCGCCATTCGATGCTGAGTCCCAAAAAAAGCACCGTTTAAGGTGTACTTTATCCGTCATTTTTGGGACATGTCCAAAGCATGATGCATGATTAAAAAATTAGATTATTTTAATATTTTTACTTAAATCTTAATTCGGAATTTAACGAATATTAAAATTTGGAAACATTTCAGAAATATATCCTTAGAGTAATCCCGAGATCCATATTTTGAAACTATAACTCAATCTAGACAAATCGCTAATTTAAGAAATCGGAATGTTAATTGTTAGGCTTTATAAGCCAAATATATGAAAGATATAAAACAAAGGAATTTTTAAGATATATTTTTAATGATTTTTCTTTTTTATGATCTTTCAGTTAAAATTTTTATAAACATTTTCTTTAAAATTCTTCTTCTGCGTGATGTCCCTTTTCATTTTTGCAGCGTGTATTTTTGTTAATTTACAGTAAAAATTCGAATTTTTCTTTAAAAAATTTGCAGTAAATTGCTTCGAATCGTGTAAAAATATAATCCGAAATACAAAGGTACAAATTTGTGTGACAGTATTGAAGTTATTAATGGTATTGCCAAATTTCAACACGTTTATAAACCTAATATTCACGAAACTAATTAACTAATAAAATATTCGTAAATTATCTCTCAATAATTAATAAAATAAGGTAACAATTATAATATATTATTATTATTATTATTAATTTTGAATTTTTTATAATTTATTTGTCGAATGTAAAAAAAATGATACCCATGTAAAGAATAATTTTATGATATGTATATAATATAATTATTATCGCTGTCTTTGACAGTATTGTAAAGTCACCATTAAAGTTCAACCATATATATAAATATATATATAGCTTGGCATTAGATCAAATTAGAGATAGGTTTATGCACTTTCATGATAGACAAATTAGATTTACATTGTCTGTTTTTGAAACATTCACTTTGATACCTTTATGGCAAGATTTCCACTCTTCTTCTTATAGACCTTAAATTGTTACGCCCGATTTTTGGGTTCCAAAATTAAAAAAAAAATTCTTGCAATTCTTTAAAAGCTACACTTCAATTTAAGAAGGTGGAAAATTTTCTTGCTGAATATTCCCAAAAGTCATCAATAATATGTAAAAATCACAAAGCAACAGTTTAACCTCCTAGATCTCGCCATCATAGCGTATCTTCTCATATATCTCATTCTTCTCCTTCTCCAGGTATTCTAAATTCTCCAATCTTTAGTTCCCTACACAAACACAGAGCATAGTAATAAGTTTTAAATAAATGAAACTCATTATTTACGAGCAAAAAGTATTTGAATATCGACGCAATGCTGGGCTTCAATTTTTAATTATATCCTTAATTTATTTAATTTNGGATCAAAGGCAGCATTCAGAAACTAGTTTTGTTGGAGACTGAGTGCTTCTTTTCTGAACAGATTAGTCTATTCAGAGTTCAGCGTTTATTGAGTGCTCAGTGAATGGGCATTAAAAATAATTCCTGTCTTATGATGGGTAGGCACATGTATTTTTGATGACATGCTGATCAGAGATGCCAACCACTATAGATTTTTCATAGTTTCTACAGAAGATATGTTTAAATTATTGACTTTACGATTACTTTTTGAAAATTACAGAACAATCTTTTATACTCTTAAATAACTATGCTGATGCAACAAGTGGCAACAAAATATGTATGCTAACACATGCATGTTAGTTAACATTTTGTCCACATAGAACTGCTAGTATGTCAAATCTCAAACCAATCTGTGCATTTATATCAATAACGTGAAATGTACAGACAGTGAGTGCTTCCAGTTTGTAAGGATCTTTCTAAAAATTGTTCATGTACACAACTGATTCACACAGTCATGCTGAAACTGGTCTAAAAATGTTGCATGCCCTTCTAACATTATGATTTGGCACTGGAAATGCTGTAGCAAAAAGAACAGTGTGTTCATGTGTAGATAAAATGACAAATTTTGTCAATTATATGAATTTTATTATATCAAGGGTGTTCCTATGTAAGAAAAAATATGTACGTCTACTGACAACGTCTAGATATATTTAATGACATTTGCTGTGTTTTATATGGATTGTTTGCTTATCATAACTTATTATATATTGTCGTTATCAGTGATTGTGAGTATCGTAAATGGAATTCCCCCTTCATGACTGGTGGGACCAAAATGTGTGAAATACATTTCTCAGCACTCAGAATTCTGTCCTTCGCACTTATTTATGTATATCCTATTGTATAATATACAGCTTTTTATACAGCTTTTTGCACAATTTATGTAAAAGTTAATTCTTGAAAATAAACATTTTTATTCAGATTTAATAGCTAATTATATGTTATAATATAAGTTGAAATTATTTCTCACCAAGTGTTTTATTTTCGCTAACAAATATCGATATTTAGAATAATCGAATTAAATATTTAATAAATTTTTGAGATGATCTCGTATTTTAATTAAGAGTTATAATTTTTAAGATGTTAATTAAAATTGCACAGACGGGATATTATCGATAAAGGCTTTGTTATGTGTTGTTTGCAGCTGTAGAACACGCGACATCTGTTTCCTTTAGGATACAAACTGAAATAAACAATATAGGAAAAGTTAATAATAATACCCATGATACAAGAAAAATAATAAAAGATAAATAAACAAAAACAAATGATTTTTATTTATCAGTAATTTTTTAATAACTTCCAATAATTGTTGGTACGTATTGAAAATTTTATTAAAATTAGTGATAAGTTTTTACAATATTTAAAAATTTTTCAAACACATTTTGCAGAAACACACAAAAATACATTGTTTAAAAATAAAATAAAATTCCTTTCAATTTTGAAATGAGTTTATTATAACAGAACAATGTGAAACAATAGAATTTACCCGGATTTTCTGATTAATCCATCCGGTTTTATACAGTTCTTCTAAACTTAAAGGCGTAAGAAATTCTTAAGAGACTTTAGAACTTTCTCCTTATTTTATGGGATTACTAAATACATCTGTAATCTTTTCTATACGTTGGCTTAACATTTTTCTTTTTTATTCCAAGAAGTTAACAACAAATTGACTTAGAACATCTTTTTTTTGCTATTAATTTATTAACAATAGCCCTTACTCTTGCGAACAAAACAATTTTTAATCTAAAATGGATAAAATGAATGAAGAGAGGATCAACTTTTTTGGGATAAAAATCATACGAAAAAGAAGCTATCAAGGCTCTTAAAAATCACTGTTTTGTCGTTTTCAAAATGTTTGAACTAAATAAAATATTGTCTTTACGATTAGATAGGAGAGTGTCTTCCTTATCGAATGTAGAGAGAGGAAATCGCATTTAGAGACCATCCTGGCAGAAAGCCAAAGATGACTGAAATCACTAAACACCCTTGAATATTCACTAGATAATTTAATCTACATTATTAATCTGTGTATTTACAAGTTTATGTCATTTTAAATTCAAAAAACGTTATCTTAATAATTTGTTTTAATTCAGAAGTAAGGATATTTCACTTTTTAAAAAATTTATTTTTTATTTCATTAATATAAAAAATTATATATTTTATAGCCAAAATATTCAAATATTAAGATTTAAACATAACTAATATTTTGTTAAATATAACTCTCTTTATCTTAAGTACACCTGTGAAGGCATAAAAAGACATTCAACTTAATTATTGACTATTTCTTTAAGTGTAAATCGAATGTAATTCTTTGTAGAATGACATCGGTTTCAGAAGCAATCGATTTTAGTTCACTGACTGTCTGTCTGTAGCAACAACACGAAATCGTCAAAAACATTTCCACGAAATGTAATACGGAATTTATCGACGAAAATTACGAAATATTCATAGATTTATTTGACTTAAACAATCAATATTAAACAAAATATTTTCAGTTATCCATGATTCCACTTAACTTGAAAATACAGACGCATTTCATAGATAAACCATGAAAAAACTCTCTAGAAAGCAAATAAGAAACTATTGGTTATCATAATTTGTTTCAAAATGTGATGAGAAAATTTAAAAAATTATCTAAATTGTAAAATACTAGAGGCAAAAGCAGCAAAATATCAAAATTCTCTACAATTAACGCGCAAATATCAATAAAAGCATACTCTTATTCTTTGCATCGTTTATGTTACATACAAGAGTGTGCTCCTATGTGTGCCAGCTTGTTTTGGCTTATTAAGAGAACAGAACTGGTGTATCAATATAAATTAAATGTAAATGTACTGATACAGTATTCAATGGCGTATCTGTGGTAAATCATTATTAAAAAAATTTTAAATGCTTCCGATAATACAAAAGTTTTTTAAAAAAATAGTGAGATTTTTAGGTACTTTTTGAAATATAATGCCGATTTTGGTTATTCTATTTCATCGGTGATAACAACAGTGTAAATATAAGAAAGATTTGTTGTAATTAAGATAGGCTACTTTTAGAGAAAACTTTTCTTATTTTTTGGTAACGTGTAAAAGGAAAAATTTATTAGTTATTCTACTATTAAAGTAATATTCAAATGTTCCTAAAATACTATTTTGAAAATAGAGTGAAGACTTTACAAACACGAAAGCAATTTTATAAATCGGCAAAATAAGAATTATGTTAATAACGCCTTTAAAAAATAAGAGTGTTATTAACGTAGTGTCAGTGATACGACAGATATCCGGAATTGAATTCTGTCCTGACATTTCTTTCGAGATTTTTATTGGTAAATCGGAATTTCTACGTTCTATCAGTTATTTAAAATGGTTGAAATGAAAAAAATCAGGTAAGCGATCACAAGTGAAAATGTCACAAAAAGAAAAAAATAATAATGTACATTAGGTCTTATTTTACGTGTATATGTTCTCATTGATGGTGAATCATCAGGTTATATCTGACTCTTAAATCAGCAAACTGCACTTCTCCAGTTACAGTTATCGTAAAAGCATAACTTAAACGTTTTAAACACATGTTAACGTTTTTGTGTTAGTTGTAAATGATTGTCTAAATGTTTAGACTCCAGGCTATCATTTTCATTACCTAGGGTAGAATATAAATTTATGCAGAATTTTGTTTTCAGCCGTATCTGCTGACAGGCAACTTTAGCGTATAATGAAACCAATGACACCAAAATAAATTTGGCAGGGAAATTTGTATTTATACCAGATTTACTTTGTCTAGAACAATTTAAATCTGCACAAAACCCACCGAATTTATGAAAAAATTTTCCCATAAATTCCCATAAAGGTGACTAATCTAATTCAGTTTTGGTGGGATTGTACATACGTTTTCTCGTCTGTAATTTTTAAATGAAAAATATCAGAGAAGGATATAGTGTATATTTTTACTCCATACGACAAATTTGAGATAGGAGTTTAAAAAAATAATTTTTCAAATTTCTGAGAAATTTCAACAAGAATTATGTAATTATTAGTGTTGCAACGAATAATATATTCGGCCAGGAACGTGGCCGAATAGCCGAATATTCGGCCAAACTATTCGGCTCGATTAACGCACGTACGAAAATTGGCGCGCAAATCGCATTATGGCAAGGATCCTGCTCTCATTGGCCCGCTGTCACTACGCTTCGCCAATCGCATTAATTCTTGGCAGTTGTAACGGACAGACAAGAGTGTCATGGAAGTATGTGATAAATGATGATATCAAATGTGGATAATAATGAAATGACCTACACGTGTAAATAATGGAAAAAGAACAGAGAAGGACCGCGAAGTGAAAATATGAAAATAAATATGAAATTGAGTTGATAACATAATCGAACAAGTCGAGACAGCTTATTGGCGCGAAATTCGCGGCCGTCAATGCCAAATAATTGTTGTCATAGACTTCGGAAAACTAAATGCTTGTAATGAAAGTCACTTAGCGTGCACGGGCAAAAGCCTGGGGCCGTTCGGGCTATCAAGCTGTCTCGAATCTGTGAAATCATAACTGTGGCTTATACCGACGTTCTATCTGTCTCTTTTCTCCGTTATCACCAGGCTGAGTCACGTAATTGTAAAATGGAAACTCTACGACGGAAAAGTGACGAATCGAAAGTATCGTGAGCGCGTATTATGATGTATGTACAGGCATACATGCATTAGAGCGATAGAGGAAAGAGAAAGGGAAGAGCAAAGACGAGCGTTTAA